TATCTAATAGCGATGTCTTCATCAATAAAATCTTCATAATCATAGTCTTTTGATCCCTTTTTAATTGTGATCAGAATTCATCATTTTTCTTTTTGTTCTCAACTTTCTTTGATTTATTTTCATGAAGAAGTTTAATTATATTTTCTCTTACTATACCCATTAATAATATAGTTAAGAAAAAGAGAAAAATTAGTTGCACATGCTTATGTAGATTTATAATTTTTATTGAGCAATTATCAATAATATTTTCAAAAGAATTATAAAAACATAACATACAAGTAACGTTGAGGCATAGTGTAATATTGCTAGTTTTATGAGCAATGTGTTTCTTGAAATATGTTATTCCTCATTTTACAACTTTATCACAAAATTTGCATAAAACATTTCCTTTATATTTGACACAAGTGTTCCAAAATGCCAACCTATATCATCACTTGGCGCGCCTTCTACTTTTTTGGTTGAAAATTCTTCACGTGGTGGCTTGCTTGCTATTTTGTATAAAAAATAAAATAAACTTATATTTAGAAATATTAATGTTATTTATTTCATCATTAAAAATTAAATCTACATTAAATATTTTAATTTTTAGTTTTTAATCTTCAAAGTAATAGATTGTAAAATGTTAAATTCATTAAGTAACTTAATCTTTTTTATGCACTAATTAATGTAAAAAATTTTTTATCACAAATTACTTTCAATATATTATATAATAAATAAAATCTTCAATAATTACACAAAAATTAAAATAAAAAAATAATAATTAATTTAACAGCAAAAGAATTGACAGCAATATAAAGACCAAAACAATAAAAAATTATTAAATTTTAAATATAAAATTATAAATTAAAAAATAAGAAAATTAAAATAAACATTTAATTTTAATTATTTTTATCTAACTTATACAAAAAAATTTTATTAAAACTTTTCATCTAAAATCCCCATATATATCATATTAAATTATTAATTTCTTAATTTTTTCAATTATAAATTCACAATCCCTCTAACTAAATTTTATCTTAAAAAATTTTTAAAATTACAAATTTTTAAATTTATATTTTAATAAAATTAATTGCAAAATGCATGCTTGCTATTTTGTATAAAAATAAAATAACTTATATTTAGAAATATTAATATTACTTATTCTATCATTAAAAATTAAATCTACATTAAATTTTGTAATTTTGTAATTTTTAATCTTAAGAGTAATAAATCGTAAAATATTAAATTTATTAAGTAATTTAATCTTTTTGATACATTAATTGATGTAAAAAAATTTTATCACAAATTACTTTCAATATATTATATAATAAATAGAATATTTAATAATTACACAAAAATTAAAATAAATTAATAAGAATTAATTTAATAGCAAAAGAATTGACAACAATATAAATACCAAAATAACAAAAATATTATTAAACTTCAAATATAAAATTATAAATTAATAAATAACAAAATCAAAATATAATATTTAATTTTAATTATTTTTCATCTAACTTATATAAAAAAAAAATTATTAAAATTTTTCATCTAGAATCCATATATATATCATATTAAATTATTTATCTTTTAATTTTTTTCAATTATAAAATCTTAATCCTTCTAACTAAATTTTATCTAAAAACATTTTTAAAATTACAAATTTTTAAATTTATATTTTAATAAAATTAATTATAAAATTAAATAAAAACTACCCACATACCCACTCTACCCCCCAATGCACCCCACCCCACCTTACTGTGAGATGAGACTCAGCAGCCTCCCTTACCTATTCCATGATTCACTCTCAAACACCCCCTAATTTCCCCCAAAAATTTTCCCAAGTTCTTCATGGCGTTGCCTCAACCCTTCCTCAAATCAACTCAACCAACTTTATTCAAGTCTTCTTCTTCTTTCATTTTTTTTTTTGCATCTCTCTCTCTCTTTCTCTCACATGTCCTCGTCTTTCTCACTCAGATTCTCACAAACACAAAGATCAACATCATTCTACAAAAATTTTACAAAAAAAATAGGTAATTTAATTTTTTCTTACCTTTTTTTTATTATTGATTGAGAATTTGAAGCTAATTTGAATTTGGGTAGCTATCTACTGATTAAATTGTTGATATTATTTTCTTAGTTTTTTAAAATTGATTTTGAAAGTTGAAATTGAGAATATGACTATACAACTGAGTAATCTTTTCTTTTGGCTTTTATTTTTACTTTTGCTTTTATAATCTGATTTTTGAGAATCTTGACAAATTGTGTTGAAAGTTTGTTTTTTATTTTTAATTTGTACTTGATGATGGAAAAGCCAAATAATGGCAATAACAGACCGGCATTGTCATTATTCCTCTTTACACCATTTTTTAATGACTGTTATACACCATTTTGAGTGTAATTAAATTTTTCAACTGTATTTTCTTTGATAACGATAGCAAGTGGTGGCACCATCATAATTTCATGATTACTATTTTACTATAGCACTGCTATTTGAATCACTGATTGCATCTTCTTTTGGTCTTTTCTCATATATACAAAATAAGCATTGCTTTTATTTTACTTATTTTTCTTTTGACATTTTATTTTACTTATTTTCTTCTCCAATGATCCAGTTTGTGAAATGCGAACGTGGTATGAAGAAAGGAACTACAAGTCTTAAGCATGAAGCAAATTCAAAGCCTTTAAAAATTTGCGATATATAGATACAATTCTTATTAGCTATTTTTCATACACTACTGGTCTTTTTTTTTTACAAGACCTATCAAGTCATAACTTTCAATCTTCAATTCAGTTTTTTTTTTTTATTAATAACTTTTTTTTAAGTTTCAGAATTTTTCCTAAAAAGTTTCACTTAAGTTTATTAAAATGTACATCTTTATAGTATATTTTTTCAAATTATTGATCAAATATACAAAATCTACAAAATTATATGTTTTGGCTTTTGATTTTGTTTTCATTTAATCATTTTTAATAGAAATTTCACAAAATTTAATTAATATAAATTAGTTTTAGTTTTTAATTTTTTTAGAATTCATTTATCCTGAATTATCATATACCTTTGTCTTTATAAATTTAATTAGGCTCCGCTTTGTTGTTTTTATCGCTTTTTTTTTTTTTAAAAAATTTGCTATTTATATCATTTTGTTCTTAAATATAAAAGGTAAATAGCAGAAACAACGAGATATAATCTTAACTATGCGTGAAACATGTGGAATAACAAAAGTTTACATGTAGCAACGAAATTCGTTGCTTAAATAATGTAGCCACGATATCACTGTTCTTTTACAAGATACAAGATATATAATGGATCAATCAAATCCTCATACCACTTCTCCCAGTTCCCACCCTTCTCTCCTCTGCCCAATGCCTGACAACTAATTCCTCTATATAAACTAAAGAGGTCAGTGGCTAGCATGGAGAGTAAGCAACTCAAATGAACTAAACTTCTGTGGCTTCTACATTAACTTTTAGAATCTCAAAGATATATGTTTTCTGTCAAAAAACTAGTTGAATCAGGACGTCGCTTCCCTTCTGACATCTGTTGATACTTATCAGCATTCCAAAGTCATTAGTGAACTCGATCGGTAATGCATGCCTGGAAAGGGGATTCTTCACGGTAAACTGATCAGTTTAGTTAATAAGTATAATTTATTATAATATTTATATATCTTTTTTCTTCTTAGTATGGTTATCTAATCATATATTAGTTTCCAGGTAATAAATCATGGAGTGCCAGAGACATTGAGAGATGAAATGATAACGGAAACTGAAAGCTTCTTCGATTTAACGAGGGAGGAAAAGCAACAGTTCACAGGAAAGAAGTTGTTTGATCCCATAAGGTGTGGAACGTGCTTCAACTGAAGGTTCTAATTGGAGGGATTATCTCAACGTTCACGTTCATCTCCATTTCAATGCTCCTAACAAGCCTTATGGCTTCAGGTACAGACCAACAAGTCTGGATCATGCTTATTTTCTATTTCCCAATTCATGGATCATGGATGACAACAACTCTTTAAATAAGTACCCATGGTATTGCGCTAAATAGACACACTACAATGTTCCTATATACAGTATATAAGATTTTCCAAAGTATAAACGATAATTCTTGCATTTGGGTTGTATTTATTTTGTGTTAATTAAATATGTATAAAATATAAAAATTATGGTATTATAATTCGTGTTCTATATATACTTGATTTTTAAGTGTGTCCAAAGTAATTACATTGTGTTGTAAGTTGTAACTCTTGATAAACAGATGTTTTTACTTGCGTTTAACAGAAAGGTTCTACAAGAATTCTAAAAACAAAAAAACTCGAGAAATGGCCAGTGAACTGCTTAAAGTGATCTCTAAAAGCCTAAAATTGGAAGAAAACTACATAAATGAGAAAATGGCAGTCGAGTCTATAGACTCTATCTCCTCAGTTGCTTGTTGCAAATATGTAAGCATCCGCTTTGTCCACAGCTAGAGCTTTCAATGGGTCTACCTCCATCCTTATGCAAATGAGCTTGGAGGGCCTGCAAGTAATGCACAATGGCAAATGGGTTCCTATCAATGTTCCCCTTCCCAACTCTTTTCTTGTCAATACCGGAGATCATATAGTACATTGATTTCATGAATTGCTAACGTTATACTTTTCCAATTTGAATAAGTATTCAAAACTTTGGGGAAACCTTTTATCTTGGGGTTGTTTAATATTTAATGGAGTATTTGGCTGTCAATTTTTGATACTGACCAACGGGAACCATAAAAGTGTGACCCATAGGGCTGTGGTGGATGACAAAGCAACTAGGATATCCATAGGGACAGCACATGGACCTCCTCTTGACACAATTGCAAGCCTCGCACCGGAGTTGGTGTCGGATTGCGCCGGCCAAGCATATCTTGGAATAAAAAATATAGCGATTAGGAAGTAGTTGGAGCTTCAACAAAGTAAAAGTTTCAGTGGAAATCCTGCTTAGACCACCTGCGTCTCCCAACATGATCTCATACTTGATGATATATTGATCATTTCCTCATTTATGTTTCATTTGAATGATCCCGGAATAGATTGTGGATTAGATTCTCATAGTCATTACATCATTTTAAGATTGGATTTTTTTCTCATCATCATCCAATTGAAATTTTAATTTCAAGTGCCTTGTTGCTGTCCATTAAAACAATGTTAAGTACCATAATATTGCTCAAGTTATAAAATCATGATAATTGTTCCAGATTAGTTGTGGAAAATAATTTGACAAATAATTTCCGAACAAATGTCAAATAGTTTAGTAGCAAAAGCGTGGGAGGTTGACGATATAAACGCATGTGCATTTTTTATTTAATTAATCATACTTTTGCCTTGTCTATTTAAGAATTTATGGTTTGTAATCAACTAACGTCTTTTTTTAAGAAACTATCTGTTATTTTCCCCTCTCTTTCTCTTTCCACCAAATTTTTAGTGTGTTGTCATTGATCTTTTTCTGATTTCAATGGGGTATCGGAAAAAGCTAAGAATTGTGTTAGGGATTCTGAAAGACAAGGGGACATTGATCAAAACAACCTTATCACCGAAGCGCCAGAAATCATCTATTCGTCGCGTAATTCTACGGGCTACCACCCACGGCTCCACCGCCCCACCGTCTGGTCACCGAATCGCCGCTGCTATCAGCCTTGGCCATGGATCACGCGCCACTGCATGCGCTTGTATCCAGGCTCTCATGGACCGACTGCATCACACGAGTAGTGCATCGGTTGCCCTGAAATGCCTCTACATAATCCATAATATTATAGGGAAAGGATCCTTTATCTTGAAAGATCAGCTCTCTATTTATCCTTGTTTTGGGGGTCGAAATTTTCTTAATTTATCGATGTTTCGAGATGATTCGGATTCGGAAACATGGGAAATATCAACATGGGTTCGATGGTACGCAGGAATCTTGGAACAAAATTTGATGGTTTCCAGGATCTTAGGTTATCACCTTTATTCTTCACGTGCCAAGAATGACAGCAGTAAAAAAGACAAGATTCTGGCTTTTTCGAACTCGGATTTACTTAAAGAGATAGATTTTCTTGTTGATTTCGCGGATCAGGTCGGTAACGCACCCAATTCGCTTTATCTTCAACGAAAAATTTTGGTGCACGAGGTTGTAAGATTGGTTAGCGAAGATTATAGATTAGTCCAACGTGAAATGTCTCTCCGAGTAGCGGAACTAGGACTGAGAATGATGAGTTTGAGTTTTAGTGACTGCACTCAGTTTCTAAATTCGTTAAACAGGTTCGAGGATTGCAAGGAAAGAACATGTTCGCTGTTGGTGAACCGAAATAGGAACGATGATTTGTGGGACTCGATGAAGGAGACCAAGGCAAAGGTTTCGGTAATGATGATGGAGAAGAAAGAGGGGAAAATGTTTCCGTTGTTGACCGAGTTCAGCCAGTTGTTTCCGTTGGTGGGGTTTTGACCGCGTCCCTGCCCCTGTTTTGTGCCGTTGGTTTCCTTCTTGCAGTGTTTTTTTTTTTTTTTTCTTTTGCTTGAACCTGAAACATCTCCTTTTAAAACGGTCTAAATAATGATTTGACTGTAATAGATTCGAATCGATTAGTCATTTTCTTGCACAGAAATTTCATTTTCATTCTTGAATATGGTTAGTTTTATTCTTAGCAGGCTGAAGGCCTATGTGAATGAAATAGTAATTTACTTTTGAGTCTAATGGGTATTAGGAAAGGCTTTATTTTTGGTATGAACAATCGGACAAAAAGAATTTGTAAATATGGGAGATTGAATCTTAACCTTGCACGAATTTATCTTAAAAATAGGTTAATGGATAATTTGAACTTAGCTTTCAGGGCTTTAAAAATGAAGTTTAGTTTCTCTTTTTTATTTTTATGCATGGCTCATTCCCATTATTGTTCTCACGTTCAGGAAAGTGCTGTTTGTTTTGGTGCCTAACGGATTGTATCCCACTTTTTTTTCCATGGTGAGATCAATATTTCTTCTTGTTTCAGACTTTCAGTACTGAACCAATCCCTGTAAAATCATAACCCTCAAATCGAATGCGAGCCCATGCACTTGCGCTTGTTGCTCCATGTAAGGCAGAAAACCCATTTCTAAATTGCCATTTTTAAGCCTTAGGCCCAATTAGAGTCCAGAAAGAATTCCAATGCCTTAACAGACCACAGTCGGGCTGGACGGTACTTTTGACTTGGATTCGGGGATACTTTCTACTTTTGATTATGATCATGGGGACTAAATCTGGGATTAGTTCCCAATTATATCGAGTCTGGGTGGTTGACTTTTGAAGTTACTAATAGGTTTGCCTGTCTAACTGACAAAACTAGAAAAATAAATGCCAAAAGCAACTAATAATGATCAATGATGGAAGATATTGAACAGTATTTTCCACCAATTAAGAGATTTCTTTGTCGACCATATCTCGCCACTGCCGGACAAGCTGGTTAGTTCTCTTCAATGTTGGTCCTGTGATTGATCATTCCCCCCCCCCCCCCACTTCTGTACTCTCTGCTTAGCTTTTTCAGCCTGTAAAAATCAATTCCAACAATGTGATAAAAGAGACTATATATCAGTCTTTAAATCAATGAAATAAATAAATGATCAACAATGTTGAATAAGTGAAGTTCTTACCTCCTTTTCCCAGTCGCTTCGCATTGTGATTATAGCCAAAATCACTGTCTGAACAGCAGTCCCTCCAAAGATCATCCCACCCCAAATACCCTGGTTTTACCATAAGACATTTCACCAGGAGCAGATACTTTCAAAAGATGAAAAATGAAATTCAAGTCCAATGGTCATTGAATGAAGGAAGGGCTAGGCCTTACCGTAACACCCAAGTGGAAAACCCATCCCATAAAAAATCCAAGTGGGAGCCCAATAATGTAATAGCAACCAAGGTTTATGTATGCAACAGTCGCTTGCCATCCCGATCCAATTGCCACTCCTGAAACAGTGAAGAGATGAAAACAGCATCCAAAATTTGCCATCGATGAATCACTTGAATGCCTAATTGGCCAGTTTTAGGTTGAAAATTTACCTGATAGAACTGGCTGAACACTGTTGAGGAGAATTGTGATGCCTAACAGGTATGAAAGCTTATCGACTTCTTTAAGGACATCAGAACTCGAAGTGAATATCAATGCCACCTTGTCACGAAGTATGAAGATAAGTACGCAGAAGAAAAGTCCAATTATTGTTGATTGCACCACGGAAACCTCGTTGCAAAATTTGCTTTTTCGCCATTGCCTGCTCCGAGCTCATTTGCTACCCTTACTCTGCCATTTGCAATCAGAATTAATATATTTTCAGGTTATTGGCATCCTTTATTGATCACCGTTTTATTACATAATTCAAAATGTGACAACACGTAATGGAAATTTTCAAGTTCAAAGTTTTATTTTGTTATTACTACTATTTGTTAAGATCAAAGATTAGTGTGGCAGAGGCGAAATTGGTTTTGGCTTATATATATTCTACTATAGATGTTAATGAATTAATATTGATTTTCAGTCATAAAGACATATGATGATGTCGAAGAATTATGCACTGGTTAGTTATATAAAGATTCTACGATTGTTAAAATCAATTAGTCTCAGGTGAAATTGTTTATTTCGCTGATAAAATTGAAGGTTATGGGATTGAGAATTGTTCGTACCCAGTAGCAGCCAGGAAAGCAAGTGGAATCATCAGCTCCCATCCATTGATACTCAAGCTGCCAAATAGTATTACCAACCAAACTAAATGATGAGGGGACAAGTGGTCCAATTTATAAAAAGAATTAATGTGTTAACGAGTGTTTATAAACTCGATTTAAAGAGGAAGAAATGGGTAATGACATACCAAACGGACAAGGCATCCACAGCCAAAGTGGCATTCTGCAAGTATCCAGTCATCAATATCAGAATCCTGTAGTACCAATTTTCAAGGCTGCAATGGATTTAACCAAAAGAAAGAAAGAAAGAAAATGACTGATTGGTCATCAAAAGAAATTACTAACATCATTAATTATTAGAAGAGGAGAAATTAAGGATTGAATTTTAATGAAATGCTTCTGTTGATATACCATAGCATCAGTCCAGAAGCAGCAGAGAGTTTAAAAAACTCCCAGAGGCCATTATATGCTTGCATTGAGTAACCAGTCCATGACAATGGGCACCATCCGAGGACTGTGTACCCATAAAGCCCCAGAACCCCAACCCACCACGAAATGTCTAGCGCAACTGAGGCACCGATAACACCCCAATCCAAGACGTTTACGAATAGCCAACTTGTCAACACATTCACCCCTAAGGCAGCGAAAGAGACGTAGGCTAACACCCGAGTCTTCAGCTGGCTCTGCAAGAATCTTTGCAACGGGAACTGAAACGCAAAGCTAAAGTGCAAAGGTATCATCCAAACTGCCACGGTTCCTGACATCTCCGCCACGTCGTCTGGCTGTCCTAGGAGCTTTAGAATCGGAGTGGCGAATACGTAAAAGGGCAATAGCAAGAAACAGCAGAGAAATAGAACAATCCATGATCTTTGCATGTAAACGCCTAACATGTGGTACTGCTTGGCACCAAAAGCTTGACCACAAAGCGTTTCTAAAGCACTCGCCATTCCCAGCTAAAAAAAAGTAACGTTAGAGATAAATATTATAAAGTGAAAGAAAAAAAGAATATTTTCTTGGTTTGAGAGAGAGGAAGAGATTGATTAAATTACTAAGAGGCCAAAATTGAAGCCAACAATGACGGTATTGGCTATAGAAATAGCAGCGAGCTCAACATCACCAAGGTGGCCAGCGAAGGCTTGGGTGACAACGTTCATGGAGTAGGAAGCAAGGCGGCTGATGATGGAGGGTCCTAGGATGATCCATAGCTTCTGTGTTTCAATCCATATCCTTGCAGTCAAGTCCTGTCCTTCCTCATCTTTGATCCGTAGTACTTCTTTTGAATCATCCTCTGATCTTAAATCTGTTAACAAAGGTTGATGCAACTCGTCCCCATTCCTATGGATACTTCCCATCAGAGAAAATCTTTGGCTTGGCTTGTCTTACTCTGATAATGGGAGAATAATTAGCCCATTGAATAAATTAATTGTTAAAGTTTGAGACTTGAGAGAAAGGCACGTATGAAAATATAATGAATGGTGGCAGTGGTAAACACATACACTGTGCCTTGTCCTCATATAGAAGGATATGTGCTTGGATTTTATTTTTTCATTGCTAATTCAATTAGGGATTGTCCTTGACTCCATTTTACTATATAATTAAGGAAGTTATATATATATATATATATATATATGTGCTTGGATTTTATTTTTTCATTGCTAATTCAATTAGGGATTGTCCTTGACTCCATTGTACTATATAATTAAGGAAGTTATATATATATATATATAATTTAGGTGAGGGAAAGTTGCTTTATTTTACAATCAAAGCATATAGTAAATTTTAGTAAAGATTACATTAAATTTACATGTCGTTAAAAATTATTGACAACAATGATCAAACTTAAATTTTACAAGTAAAATATTTGGTGCTCATCAACTCAATTAAAACCATTTGTATAATTAAGGAAGCTTTGGTCAGGTGGATACATGGAAATTTTATGTGAGAAAAAAATTACTTTTATGAATGCAATCTTGTTTTGGTTTTTCTAACAATTGAAAAAAAATTATATGAAAGTTTTTAAATGAAATTATAAAGTTTTTTATTAAAATTTTCGACATATATATATGTATGCACATAAATTATATATATATATATACAAATTAATAAATGAATTTTTTTTTATTAAAATTGAATGAAACTGTAAGTACAAAATATTATTTGTCTGAATTGAAACATTCCCTTCAAGAATGTTATTGATGTTTAACTGATTGACGCCAAATGATTTTTGAGTACCAACCGAATCTAACACATTGCATCTATATTCATAGAAAAAAAATCACACCTACACATATATACATGTGTGTGTGTGTGTGTGTGTGAAAGAAGGAAGTGACTAGAGGCTGTGACAAAGAGATGGAGATGGAAATGGATCATGGCAAAGCGGGGAAGAAATAGTTGAGGGAGGTGTTCGGCTTAGGTTTTTAGCTAGCAAGGTTAGGTTGGTTAAGGAGACGGTCCATATTTTACGACGAACTTAAAATTTAATTTAATTAATTTATATAATTATTTTAAAAATAATATTTAATAAATTTAATATTTAAATTTTAATATTTGTAATATTTTATTTCATAATCAATTTTAGAGGAATAAAAGAAAAAAAAAATCCACCTTCTGCTCTTCACTATTTGATGGAAGCTGCTTTCATGTTTCAGGTAGTTGACAAAGTTGGAGCTCTGGTTTGGACCACTGCCGTCTGAAGTATGTTTCGACATCAATGTGAAAGAATACTTTAGACTTATGCATTAAATGTCTCCACCTTCTGCGCTTCACTATTTGATGGAAGCTGCTTTCATGTTTTAATTAGTTGACGAAGTTGGAGCTCTGGTTTGGACCACTGCCGTCTAAAGTAGGTTTCGACATCAATGTGAAAGAATACTTTAGACTTATGCATTAAATGTCTTTATCAATTATAGTTCAAGTTTGTTTTTACTGACCATATATATCTTGCTCCAACATTCAATTTCGGGTTCAAGACCCACTTTTACTACGTGAAAAGGAAGAAAAATGCGTGCGTATATAGAAACAAGAAGCGAAAAGCAAAACGCAACTGAAGTTCCAAGTCCTTGACCAGCTGGTATCAATCAATTAATATTCAACCAAGCGGTCTAAAAGGTCCCAACAGAGACAATCACCAAATTCCAAATTCCTCATATCTAATCAAACTCTCAATTAAATCACCTGACCAAGATTTGGCCAAAAAAATTAAAAAAAAAAAAAAAACGCCAATCAAGCTGCACCTGCATTTCACCTCTCGCTGGCTTTAAATTTAATTGAATGGTTTTTATTCGACGTGGATATGGAGTTCTCAAACGTAGGCGGTCTGGTGTTTATTTCCATCATAGTTGGAAAATTGTGGAAACTTACGTAACTATCATTTCATCATCAATATTAATTCACACGTACCTATAACGCGTAAACTTCTTGGGCTTATTTGCAAAATCAATGGGTTGGAACCGGAATGTTAGTTACATTACATGTCAATGACCTTGTTGAAAACTGGAATGGTAGTTGCTTTACATGTCCATGAGTCATGACCTTCCTTCATGTGACGCATCAGGTAGCTTTTCAGCTCTCTAATTGACAACTCAAATTGCGTTCCTACTCTTCGCTGCTGGACGCAAGCCGTAGATTAGTCAAGTGGAAAGTGATGGTAAGAATCTCGATCGTCAGCCTCGCATGCTCAGATAAGCTTAGCATGTTTAATTATTCATACCCATTCACTTGATGATCAAATAAAAAAAAGACATTGAATTTTGTTGTAAGAGAATTCTTGTGCCTTGGCCTGATGATTTCAGAGGCTTTGGATGTCTCTTGCATGTACTTCGTATTTTAAATATGTTTATTAGAGTGGGTAAGTACATAAGAAGCAATAATTCAATTTGCATTAGGCTTTCGAATTTTCTTTAATATTCAAAATGGTCCCCAATTATCATCTAGAACTAGAAGTCCTGTGGCAGGAATTTTATGTAACTATTTTTTTCTTTATTAGCTTTCGAAACAGCTAACAAGAAATTTATGAAAATCAAGAGCCAACCGCTTTGAGCTTAGCACAAGTGGCTTAGTGCGGGAAAGTTCAAATAAAGATCTTAAGTTCATCCACACTTGCAGTTTGCACCAACTAGCATTTCCCTGCTAAGTTTCAACTATGGAAACAATCCAAAGAAACTAGAAAGATATAGATGCGGGTAGCCAGACAGCTTTTCACCGCCTTTTAATTCATCACTCATTATTTGTTTCTTTTTCCCTCTACTCCCCTCTTTTGTTCTTGGTGCTAAACTTGAGTAGCAGTAAACAGCAAATACAAATGGATTACCGTTACAAGTGACCAATGAAGTATAGTAAAATATTTAATTTTGTATGTAAATATTAAAATCTCTAATGTGATATCTGAACTATGAATTTGTTAATTAATTTGGCATAAAAGTTGTTTGTGCGTCATATGTCAGCATTTAAAGTTAATCACATTTCATATTAGTTAACAAATTCATAGTTCAAATACCACATTAGACATTTTTAAAATTCAAGCATTATATTAAATACTTTACTATAGTTTAGGGGCCATTCATAACATTAACCCGAGAGAAAAAGGAAGGAAAATAACTGTTTCCCCATATTCTTCAAACAAACAGGTCCCAGACATAACACTGATTCACAATAAGCACTGTAATATAACTCACATAATAGGCACACTCAAACTGATGTTATTAGTTGGATATATGAATTCGAGCCTTTTGTGCCTGTCAATGAGATTTTAGACAGAAGAAACTTAATAACTTTATTTAGAAAAGAAAAACAACAAAGGGTACTTAAGATATCACAACCTACCTCTATTTCCCATTTGCATTTCAAAGTGATGATAGTTAGTATCAATGTCTGAACCACAGTTCCACAGATCATTCCAGCCCAGATACCCTGGTTATACAAACTTAAATGCTTCAGTTTTAAATTCTAGAGTCCTGAAGATAAATAGAGAAAATTCAGCCATGTTTTCATGTTCCAGATAAAGAGGACTGTCATTTTTTATAATTTTGAAATAAGAAGACTCTTTTACCAAAAACTTGTGACACAATAACTGTACTTACAGTGATACCAAATTGAAGCCATCCGAAGAAGATGCCAAGAGGAACTCCAACTATATAGTAGCTACCTATGTTTACAAATGCCACTACACATTGCCAACCAGATCCGACTGCCACACCTGAAAACAAAGCACAATGATCAAATAATATGACAAACTATTGATCATGATTCCAAATAGCAATTTCTTATTGAGCTTATGACCTGAAAGAACTGGTTGAATGCAGTTGAGAAGAATGGTGAATGCCAGTAAGGCTGAGAACTTATTAACCATTGTAATAACAGAAGAACTTGAGGTGAAGATCATTGCAAGCGTCTCATGAAAGGCCATAACAATTGACCAAAAGAAAAATCCAACTGCTAGAGAGGTAATCACAGACACTGTGGTTGCAAATTTGGCACCTTTTGCGTTGCCTGCACCAAGATCATTTGCTACACGCACACTGTATTAAGAAACACAACGAGTCAAAAGAGTAAACAGGGACAGATGAAACAGTAAGCAGGGGTGAGAGATGAAAACAATAAAGCCAATAAAAAATTCAAAATCAGTTGTATAACAATACAAATGCTCCAAAGAGAAAATCTTTGTTACTTTATATGTATACTTGAATTCATTCTATTTCTGATTAAAAGAGCAACACTAACTACGTGGGGATCCAATGCATTTTGTATGATCCAATGGCCGACATATGAAAGGTGATGATTCAATATTTTGATAGCATCTATCATATAAATGTGCTATAGCAATTCACCATTATACCGGAGACACTACAATGAATAGGATCATCATCAAAACCTAAATATCAGGGTAACCTACTTCAGAACATGTATGCCAGAAAACCACAAAAAAGGGAATGACACAATTAGTCATCAATAAGACCAATGCAGTGTTTATGAAGAGAGAAATGTTCTATTAAAATTTAAGTTTAAAACAATAGAAATTATTTACTTTTCTGTGATGTCTAATCTCTTATGTGCCACCATTTCTGCACAGGCACTCTTTTCAGCTGTAAATCTATTGCAATGCATACTCAAGGTGAGCAACTTAAAGCATTTTTCAGTTAATAGGCTGTAGATAGAGATTCAACTTATATCTTCCTGTTCTCCTTTTAATTTTTTTAAATTCCTATTTCAATTGATTACACTTGTATAATGACATGAGGATGGGGACTTAGAACCAGTAACATACCCAGTTCCGGCCAAAAATCCCAGCGGAATCATGGATTCCCAGACAAAGATTGATATGCTGCCAAACAAGGAATTGAAAATTTATCAGAAAGATGAAACAAGGTAAGAAACAACAACCAAGTAGTAGAATTTAAAAAAAAAAAAATAGAATGAAAGGAAGTAGAACCAACCAAATTGAAAGAGCATCAATTGCAATTTCAGTATTGTGCAAATACCCAGACACTATAATTAATATTCTGTAATAGAAATTCTCCAACCTGAAACATCAAAAACCCACAAACTTTGATTAAATACTTCAACATTATAAGAGATTCGATTATCAATAAATCAAGGATAGATAAAAGAGACCATTAACATACAAAAGCATGATACCAGAGGCCAGAGAGAGTTTGAAGAAATCCCAAAGCCCAAGGAAAGCCTGTGCAGAAAAACCAGTCCAAGAAAGTGGACAACCACCGCAAACAGCATAAACAAAAAGTCCCAAAACAGACAACCACCAGGAAAAATCAAGAGTGATAGCTGTCCCAACAATCCCAACCCTCAACTTATAAACAAAAACCCAACTGACTAACACATGAACCGCAAGAGCAACCCCAGAAACCCAAACAATCACTGCAGTCTTCAGTTGGCTCTGTAAGAACCTCTGCAATGTAAACTGAAATGGGAAGCTCAAATGAAATGGTATTAGCCAAACTGCAAATAAACCTGTTTGGTCCGCCACGTTGGCTGGTTGTCCAATGAGCTTTAAGATTGGAGCAGCAAAAATGAATAGAGGTAGTAAAACAATGGAACAAAAGAAGAGAATAATCCATGAACGCTGCATGTATATACCCAACTTATGATATTGCTTTGCTCCATAAGCTTGTCCACATAGTGTCTCTAATGCACTGGCCATTCCTAACTATAAGAAAACAAGCTTCAATAAAGTTGGGTCTTTTAATCAAAATACAAGGAGATAATTTGACATGAGAAAAACAAGGAATATTTCGATATGGGTTATCAGTTGTTACCAAGAATCCAAAAGTAATGGAAATAATGACAGTGGTGACAATGGAAATGGCAGCCAGATTGAGGTCACCAAGATGGCCAGCGAATGCTTGAGTTATGACAGTCATGGAGAACATGGCAACGCGGCTGAAGATGGAGGGACCCGCAACTAACCATAGCTTCTTTGATTCAACCCAGGTTTTGCTTATCAGATTTGACTCTTCAGGCTGTTGTTGTTCACGGTTCAAGTGTAGAGTTTGATCTGAGCTTGAAGGAATCAAGGGGTGGTCTTCTTCTTGGTGTATCGTGCCCATATCTTGTGCAACTGGCCGTGAGCCTTCTCAGCCTCTGCCAGACTGCCACCACGCAACGATGCGAGGCTGTGGCTGGGGCCTCGGTGGCTCTTGTACAAGTCTTAAAGAAAGGCCAGCAATTACTGATCCCTGAAAATGGGCCGTCCTGCCTACAACTTTCGGGTCACATAACTTCAATTTTAGTTAACTCTTATCCCTGAAAATGGACCGAATCTTGAAGATGAGTTTTAGAGTTCATACCTGGCTCGACCCCTCTAAATCATTATTTAATAAATAAAATTTTTATTTTAATAGAATTTTGCATAAAAAAATATAATTTAAAAATATACAAATATTAACATAGAAATGATTTTTTAATATATTTAACAATAATCAACCTAAACTTTGATCAAAAAATTTCAAAAATCAATTGAATTTAATCCAATCAAAATTGTAAACAAATCTAGTTGTACTTGTTGGACCATGCAAATAAAACTAATAAACACCAGTGGCTTGATTTTTAATCAATTGAAAAATGAGAAACTAATTAAGAAAATCAGTATTATTTGATTTTATATAGATATATATGTATATGTATATGTAAATATATGATTAAACTCGGTATGCTTAAATTAATTGACTATTTTGGTGCCAGCCTGCCTTCAATAGTTATTGGTCGCCTGATGAACTGGGGTGCTGCTTATCTCACCTTAAAATTAATTAATGGCATAACTTGGAAACCTAACAATTAACTGCAAATGGTTCCTAAATCAGTTTGCTTACTACACATGTCAAATTGGTTGGTAATTTACATAATATAAAATATTTTTTCTAAAGTTTATGCTCTTCTGGTTATTCTGTATAATTCGTTCAAAACATTCCTTCCAAGCAGAATGGACGGTGTATTCTATAGTTTTCTGGTCTTTTTTATGACACCATAACAATTATTATTAATTGGTTTACTAAGGGATGGATTCATCTATATTGTTTATGGACAATTTTAAATCATTTGTTGGATTTAAATTGTTATATTTGATATATTATCAGAATATAAATTTTATATATTATCAATAAATTATATAATATCATAAAAAAATATTTTTAAATTAAATTTTTATGTATTTATTTATTTTAAAAGTTTATAAAAATTTATATTTAGTCATCGATAAAATAACATTATATGATTTATTGATAATATATAAAATTTATATACTATCAATGCAATAAATATAAAATTATTTTTAATTTATCAGGTTAACATGATGAAAAAAATCTATAAAATAATCTTGCTGATTAGAGCCCAAAATTAAAGTTTAATTCTAGTAGTTTCATCTCGATTAGGTTTATATACTCATATTATATAGATCAACCAACCAAGAGTAATGGATTTATAATTAGAGCTCAATCGGAACTTAATAAAAAATAATATAATTTAAAACTGATTTGCCTAAAGAATCTATCCCAATTTTCAATTTAAGGACATAAAAAAATTCTCAATATAGAATGGATCATGCTAAAACATGCTTTAAAACTTATTCCAAAGCCTAAACTGCAAGTACTTATGAATGCGGGCCAACAGCTGAAGTATCCTACCTATCCATTGGAGTATTTTTAAATAGTACTGCGTACGGAGATTGGAAATCTTCAATTTCTCAAAAAAAAAAAAAAGGCCTACCTTACATTCCTCACCCTCTTCACACCACACCACCTTCACTATCACCTTCACCATCTCCTCCTCTTCCATGCAACCATGTCATGACACCACCTCCACCAAAACACCACCATCGTCACCACAAAGCATCTGCACCACATCATCATCATGGTCACCATAAGCCTCCGCCGCCCCCACCACCACCGCCACCATCTTATCCCGTGTCTCCACCAACCCCAACAAATGTCCCATTATCACCACCAAAATCAACTCCAAATGCACCATCACCATCAGCATCACATTGCTTAGCACCTCCAAAGCCAACTCCAAGTACCCCTTCTAGTCCAGTTCCAGTGCCCTCGCCACATCCTGCAAAGGCAACTCCTCCAAGTAAGGCATCACGCCCTAAACCCTCATATCCGCCACGCCCTGGCAAAGGTCCAACTCCACCTCCAAAATCACCACCAGCGGCTGCACCTGGCCCATACATTGGTAAAACACCTCCTACTCCCTGCAATGGATCACCACCTCACTCTGCACCTGCACCTCCAAAGCCAACTCCAAGTACCCCTTCTAGTCCACCTACAGTGCCCCCGCCACATCCTGCATCCCCAACTCCTCCAAGTAAGGCATCACCCCCTAAACCTTCATATCCACCAAGCCCTGGTAAAGGTCCAACTCCACCTCCAAAATCACCAACAGCGGCTGAACCGGGCCCATACATCGGTAAAACACCTCCTACTCCCTGCAATGGATCACCACCTCACTCTGCACCTGCACCTCCAAAGCCAACTCCAAGTACACCTCTAGTCCACCTACTGTGCCCCCTCCACATCCTGCATCCCCAACTCCTCCAAGTAAGCGCATCACCCCCTAAACCTTCATATCCACCAAGGCCCTGGTAAAGGTCCAACTCCACCCCAAATCACCACCAGCAGCTGGCACCTGGCCCATACATCGGTAAACACCTCCTACTCCCTGCCAATGGATCACCACCGTCACCTGCACCTAGCGCCTCCCAAGGCAAACTCCAAGTACCCCCTAGATCCACCTCCATGCCCCTCCACCATCCTGCACCCCAACTCCTCCCAAGTAAGCGCATCACCCCCTAACCCTCATATCCACCAAGCCCTGGTAAAGGTCCAACTCCACCTCCAAAATCACCACCAGCAGCTGCACCTGGCCCATACATTGGTAAAGCACCTCCTACTCCCTACAAGGGATCACCACCTCACTCTGCACCACCAGCAAAACCACCCAAATCTTCATCACCTTCATACTCTCCACCATCCCATTACGTGCCACCACCAAAACTAACACCCGGTAGTTTATCTCCCGCACCAGCACCTACTCCTTATGGGGCAACCCCACATTTCAGTTCTGTGCCACCCCCATCAGAAGTACTAACAGCAGCACCACCACCACCAGCAGGAGGCAACCGCACAACTATTATCGCCGTGTGCGTTTCTCTCGGTGGTGTATTTTTCCTCGCAATCCTTTTGGTTGGTCTCATTTGTCTAGCAAAGAGGAAAAAGAAGCCAATAATGGTTCCTGCAGCAGTGCCTTGCTCTGATGAAGAACGTGAACAAGCCTGCGAGACACCCCCAACAAACCCATATGCGGAACCATCTGTGCATGACGCTCATATTCACCAGCAAGCTATAGGAGCCGGCGCTGTTGGTTCACATGTTGGGGCCTCAGATAGCCCTCATTGTGAACCAGGGTACGGCGGTGGGTCTTCTCATTACTAAGACTACCAATTAAATTCATCAGTTGTACCGGGGTGTAATAATTAAATTGCTACTGGCATGTAGTAGCTCTACTTTGTCTTTGTGCCAGTTCAGTTCATTTAACTATTACTGTTTGTTAGTTTCACGCATTTTAATAATAATTTAATTATTGTTTGAAACATGCTCGTTGGCCTGCTGCTGGCCATAACTGACCAACAGTGAAGCTGGGAAGCACCTGGACGCAGAAAACAAGTACATATAAGAGGATCCACTTAAATACATTAATATTGCACATTTTCCATTATTAGATCAAAAAGGTTAAATATAAGTTTCATGCATTTAATTTTGATACAAAGATTAAAAAAATATGTAATTCTTATACTATTGTAAGTGGTGATTAAATTGAAATAAGGGGTAAGAATATAGAGAATTTATTATGGTTGTTAATTGTTGAGTCTGGTGTAGCGAGAAGGAAAACGGGCCGTGCAAATTATGGTGGGCCATAACCTCGATTGACTTGCTTAGTGCCAAGTTTAGTGCTTGCTTCCAGAAGGTACAAAGAGAGGCAAATGGATTGGCAGATGTATTAGCGAGGGCAGGGGTGGACTGAGTGACGAACCTCATGGTCTGGTGGTAAAGCGTTCCAAGTTTATTTGCCTTACATATTTCTGTTTCACTTAAGATCTGTTGCTACCTCTTTGTTATGCTCTCCAGGCTTTTTTCATTCTTTCTTAGTTTAACATGTAAGGCGATTGCTTCCAGCGGGTGGTGCAATTGGACATGGCCTGGTTTTGCTATCCGCAAACTTTTTCCATTAATAAAAGCTTCACTTAAAAAAAATAGAGAATTTATTAAAATGAAAACTATTAAACTTTGTAGAATTTATTTATTAATTCCAAACACTCATGCATTAATCTTTAAAGTAACGGTTTTAATTGGATTTCAAACAAAACAAAATAAAACAAATAGACTTTTTGTAGTTTTTAGTATGTCCTCCCAATCCCTATATATTTGATTGGTATTAAAAACATACCTTAATGGCTGCTTGTTTGCTTTCACATCGTTGACCATCGATTGTATTACATCAGTTTTTTTTTTTTTTAATTAAGCCATAGTTTTATTAATAAACGGTAATGTGCTTACAGAATTATACCTGATATTGTTCACATCAATATGCTTACAGTAATACACCAGATCTTACACTCCCTAAACTTGGTTGGAGACCACACCTGGACACTAGACATACTCCAGGAGTGTACAAACAATCCACCCTCTTACCCACCAAACAAACCATGCCGATACTGATCACCACCATGCCAAAAAATAATGATCTCTTTCGACCCCTTCCTTTGCTAATGCATCGGCCATGCCATTCACTTCTCTAAATACTTTCACCAACTTTACTTTCTCAATACTAGACATTAGATGTTCAATTTGCAAAAATATACATATATTATGAAACTCCCAGAGCCTTTTTTCTCCATTTGTTACCCATCTAAGAGCAACCATTGAATCAGTTTCAATAATTATGAAAAGCTCACGAATTGTAGTAAAAATACTCAATGTAATATTTAAATTTTAAAAATTTTTAATATAATATATGAATTATGAATATGTTATTTAATGTGATATTCATTTTTAATATAATCAGTTTCAAATATGTGATGATCAAACGACTTTTAAGTATTATATTAATTAATAAATTTATAATTCAAACATTACATTAAAAATTTTTTAAATTTAAATACCAAATTAAATATTTAACTATAATTTTAAAAACTATTCATAATATCTATCCATAAAAAAGAATTATATGCTAAAAGAAATATACCAATGTAGAGGCAGTTGGAAGCTGACCCAACTTGCAGGCCCAATGTACTTACAAAAGAATGGGTTTCAACATTCAAGCAATGTATGTCAAATTCTCAAATCTTATGATGTTAAACGAAAAGTTATCTATTATTAACACTGGCATCTTCTAAAAAAAAAGGATTTCTATTGTTAAAAAAACCAAGTCGAAATTATTAACACGTAAGATAGTAATTGTTAGAGCATGTTTTGTTGTACAACCTCTCTTAATTGTGACCAATAATTCAACATCATCAATTCAGAAACACAAATATTTACGAATTAAAATTTAATAAGGGTTGAATGGAATCATTTAATAATTGTCGTATCTGAAAATTACTCTTACCAATATATTCTACCATATAAATTAAATATTATTAAATAAATTAAATTTTAATAATTAAAATTAAAATTTAATAATATTTTATCAATTTATATGACAACATAAATTAAATTTCGTAATTATATCATTTTTTTAAATATCATTCTAAAAATAGAAAAAATTACTATTGATGTTAAAATTCGAATTTTAAATTTATTGAATATTATTTCTTAAAAATAATTATATAAACTAATTAAATCAAGCTTCATATTCTAATTATATAATTAAATGTTAAGACTTTTCCAAAACCATGAATTTTCTCACAAAAGAAAATCACATATGGCTTCGCATCATCTTGATTGGATAGACAACATTGGGTAGCGTTTGGTATATATCTTCACTTCATCTTGATTGGATATACAACATCATAATAATGTAATTATCGGAGTGATTTTATTATCAAAGTGATCTTAATGCTCATAATTTGAAATCACTTTATTTGATTAAAAATAATTAATTCTTAGGAATTAAAAATTATTGTGTTTGATATTACTAAAAATCAAATATTATTTTGTTTAAAAGTATGAAAATAATCATGCACATTATAATGTTACGAAAATTAATAATTTTAAGATTGTTTAAAGATAACAATTTGTAAAATATTAATAATATTTATTTATTTTATAATAAAATATAATTAAATTATTAAATATATTTATTGACAGGTAAATTGATTTTTATAATATAAATTATGTAAAAAATATTTGAATTAGAAAATAAAATCAATATTTTAAATTCATAATAAAAAAATAAAAAAATTATATTATATATAAAATATTAAAAAAATACGTAAATTATTGTAAACTTATTACAATAAATATTAGTTTGAAAATATAAAATTATATAATATAAAATAATTATAATTTTAAGATACAATAAATTTTAGTTCATACAATAAATAAGTAAATTAACTATTATTAATTTTACATATTATTTCATTTTTATGATAAACGTTTTTCATATTTTTATATGAGACTTGGATCATTCTTTAAGATATTGATTTGATCATTCTAGATGATCCAAAATCATCAAATACTTATTAGACACAATAATCTAATTATTATATATAAATCATAATAACTTTTAAAATAATTATTTTATACCGAACTCTACTTTTTAACATTGAAGAACGCATGGCAGGCTTAAAGTGGGCAAAATCGATAATGACGAGTGCTGCTGGACCCTTCAAAACATTTGGCTCTTAGTTTTGGAGGAAAGTGTTTGTCCGCATTGCAATCTTGGATGCTGCTGCCTGTATATAGCAAATATATGTTAGTATTTGTATTTGTCCACATGAAGTGAACATATAGTATAGGACAAGTTTTCTTTTTTTTTTTTTTTTCCTTATATAGTTTACGCTAACTGCCATGGTATTTTATTTTATATGATTGCAAATATTAAAAAAATTTGCTTCTATTATTTAAACTTTTCTATTAAAAAATTTAGACACTTGATCCATTTTCTCAACTACTTGATGGGTACAAAAATTATCTTTAAGACAATAACGACAGGATTGCCTGATCAGATTGCTGGATTTTTTTTAATTATATTTTGGTAACATGGATTTGAAACTGATATATATTAGATTTTATAAACAAAATAATAAATATTAGCAGGTCCAGTCCATCAGTGGGTCATTATTATGAAGAAATTAACTCTCGTTAATTTTGTCTTTTAATTTTGAAAGTAGCTAGCTTGTTATATTTTTTAATTAATCTTTAAAAAAAAATGATTGGCTTTGCGACAATTATATTTTGTGCAAACTAAAGTCAGAGTAATGAGTTGACCATCATCCCTCAGGCAAGACAAATCATACCATCCAATATTGAAGATATTTATATTCATGTGATCAACCATATATATTGTCACTATTTAATCATATAATTTGTTGACAAAATATTAAATTTTTAATATATATTATACACAAGTGGTTATATGGCCAACAAATCAAGCAGGTTGATTAGATATTTATGCCTTGAATAACTATGATTAGTTTAAATGTCTCAATTTCATCAGCTCCCAATGCTACAGAGAGAGCATTAATTATATTAAGGATATGGTTTGCGGGCGTTTATAAATATTAATTAAGTAAAATTATAAATTTAATTCAGTTCATACAATTATTTTTAAAAAATAATATTTAAATGTGAAATTTAAGTTTTAATATCTACGATCTTTTTTTATATCTTCAAATTATGGTATTCTTTGTATAAAAAATAAATATTAATTAAATATAATTAAAATAATGTTTAAATTTTTTATTTTAATTAGGGATGATACTGGGTAATGTATAAGATGGATAGAGTATTTTTTGTACACATTTTCAGTTTTTCATATAATACTCACCCCATACTCATGTACATTTCAAATGTATTTGCATTCCTATAGAGATTTAATAAATATGAGTTAAATAAGTGCTATATTATCCATTCATATTTTTGTATCCGATAAAAAATTTAAAACCATACTCATTTCCGTTCTTATCCCAAATCTATACTAAAAATTTCATACTCATTTACATCCTCATTTAAATAAAAAAATTTATATTCTCATTTAGGTAAGATTGACATCATTAATTTTTATCACTAAATTCAAGTTTTTAAATTAATGATGTATATATTTTTAAAAATATTATTTTAAAGTTTCTTATGTATTAAAACCAAATAAAAGTTCAATAATTGAGACCAAATAAATTTTCTCGCTCCAACTATACAGACAGCCAGTAGCATCAAAACCACAAACGGCGGCAATTTTACGTGGTTTTGAGTTGGAGCAAGGCAAGACTACTAATTTGTGAATGTTTGTTAGCCGTTACATCAAAAAAATATGCCCACTTATTAATTATATACACCCCACCTTTCAATTTTTCTGAGCAGTTATAAAATCATTATAATTAAGCCAATTACGTCATAATTATTGAATTTTTTATTTTAACAATCAAAATTAATTTTCATAACTTCAAATATTAAAAAAATAATAATATCAGAATTAAATTGATGGAAGAATTGCATAAAACAAGGGGAACTTTCCAGAATTAATTTTCTAATGGAAAAGGCCGATGAAACCTTATACTAGAAAAGACATTTTCCGGCCTCTAAGAGTAATGCATGGATGTTGAAAAAAAAAAAAAAACACTATTTTCCTTCTTTAATAAGTCGCTGGAGAAAAGACAGTTTGGTTGTCGCATAAGTTTTCCTTTACAATAGAAATGGTTTAATAGATAAATTGAATACAAGAATTAGTTTTGTGGATTTAATATATATTTTGATTGATATATCAAATGCAAATCATTGAAAATTTAAAATAATATATCTTACAAGTTATAATCTAAATATGAATATTTTAAACTTAAATTTTAATCTAATTGATTCATGTAATAATTTTAAAAAATGACACTTAATAATAAGTTTAGAATTCAAATTTTAGTATATACAATTATTTTTTTTATGAACTTCTTTATAAAAAAAATATATTTAAAATGAACGGTAAAAGAAATTTGAGGTTACATTTTTCTAAAATTAAACACCAGGCAATTGCTTTTCTTGAGATTTTGGTCAAGAATTGCTAATATGATTTTCTCATTCTCACCCTCACTTTTGGCTCTTGCCATGTTTTAATGCATATAATTGACGTGTGCTTTTTCCTGCTTTCATATTACTATATATTAGCAGATCCACAAGACAGTTTTGCTCTTAGTAAATGTTAACACTCTCCATACAAATAAAAGAGACACTCCATTTTTCTCTGTAATTAATCATGGAGGTTGTCAAGGAACATAAACCAGGCACCACCATGAGAAAATCTCTCCTAGTAATAAACTGTATCATTCTTTCTATAGGCAACTGCGGTGGTCCTCTTCTGATGCGCCTCTACTTCATCCATGGAGGAAAACGAGTCTGGTTTTCGAGCTGGCTAGAGACTGGTGGTTGGCCCATCATCCTTTTTCCTATCGCCTGTGCTTACATGCACCGTTCCAGGACCCAACCTACTTCGAAAAACAAGCTTTTCTTCATAAAACCTCCCTTGTTCATTGCCGCCGCGGTAATTGGAACCCTGACTGGCCTTGATGACTACCTCTACGCCTATGGCGTCGCCCGTCTTCCAGTTTCAACTTCTTCTTTAATCATTGCCTCACAGTTGGCTTTCACTGCAGGGTTTGCTTTCCTTTTAGTGAAGCAAAAGTTCACTTCATATTCCATAAACGCTGTGTTTTTGTTAACTATCGGAGCAGGTGTCTTAGCTTTGCATACGAGCGGTGACCGGCCTGCAAATGAATCAAACAGGGAATATGTTTTAGGGTTTCTAATGACCCTGGCTGCATCTGCTTTGTATGGGTTTATCTTGCCTTTGGTGGAGTTAATGTACAAGAAGGCAAATCAAGAAATCAGCTACGCCCTTGTGATGGAGATTCAGATGGTGATGTGTTTGTCTGCTACTGGTTTCTGCACCGTTGGTATGCTGGTTAACAAGGATTTCAAGGTTTCTTTTCTTTCTCTTTCTATCTTAATTATTACTACCAAAGTATACTCCATTCAATGATGAATGAGATCTACTGCAGTTTAATTGATTTCTAATTCTTGAGATAAAAAAGTAAAGTACAACTCAAGACCACATTTTTAAGGTTGCTATAAATGTTTTTTCTAAGATTTAGATGAACCTTTTTGAATGGTAAATCTTGATCATGACAAGGGTTTTTTAAAGACGATTACAGGTGATCTATTAGTAGAATATAAATTTTTAATTCTAGCAATCAAAATTAAATTATAATAATTTTAAATATAAAAAAATAATATAATAGAATGAAAAGTCCTATGCTGAAATCGAAAAGCATTTTTTTTATTGTTGGTTCTATATTTTTGGTACAATTAACACATTTATAAATTTATTTCTAGCTATGAACAATATTGAATTGTTACATTTTGCAGGTAATTCCAAGGGAAGCAAGGGAATTTGAGCTTGGAGAAACAAAGTATTATGTTGTTGCGATTTGGAGTGCAATAATATGGCAGTGTTTCTTCTTGGGAGCAATAGGAGTAATCTTTTGTGCTTCATCTTTGCTATCAGGTATCATAATTGCAGTTCTATTACCCGTAACAGAGATTCTGGCAGTAATTTTCTACAAAGAAAAGTTTCAAGCAGAGAAGGGTGTGGCTCTTGCACTCTCTCTTTGGGGCTTCATTTCATACTTCTACGGTGAGATCAAGCAAATCAAGAAAAAGAAGCCAGCTCCTGAAACAGAGATGCCATCAGTTCCCAATAGTGTGGAAAGTGTTTAAATATTTGTGATCCGACCAATTCCAGGTTCCAACTTCGCTTGGCTAATGGTTTCTTGGTATATTGCTCGACTCTAGCTAGTTAGTTAGATAAGAAATTACCTTTGCATGTTCTTGTAAGGATTCGATTTTCCAATAATTTCAGGTTTAAAACACCGGCAACTATGAATACATTAAATTCCCAAGTATCTTTCCCATTTTCGAATTTAACATCAGAATATATACACATCATGCAAGTCTTATGTTTTCTTAAGTATGTACATACATGTATATTATTATTCTTAATTTTTCCATTTCTTTATCAATGTTTAAATTAACATTTAACTTTCAAATATCCATAAGATATTGGCTAAGTAATAAAGAGAATTTACTTATCTTTTGATTACTTCAGTTAGAATCTGTTAAAAAAATTTATAAAAAGATAAATTTTTATAAATTTATTGAATTTGATATAAATAAATTAATTTAGACTAATCCAAAAAAATGTATCCAACAAAATTTAAAAATCTTTTACCGTTAAAAAAAAAATACAAATAGATACTAAAAGAGTTTTTGAGAAACTATTAAAATAATAACGTAATAATAGGAAAAAACAAAATAATGATGCGAAAATAGAAATGAATGAACCTTTTCGTTTATTGGATGGTCGAAAAGCAAATGCTGTTACAGCAAGTCAACAATTCTACGAGCAGACATCTAGACCACTATGAGTCTATCATAGCACCACAAGTGATAAAGAAGGATGCCCTCTTTTAATGCCTCAATAATGGCTAACCAGATGAATCATGAAACTACTGTTAAGAGAATTGAACCCTCTATAAACAGAAGAAGCCACAAAAAAAGGGGCCCATTTCTTATATCCTCCATGTGCATGCATATCTTGTTCATTGCCTCGAGTCAAGTTTGGCCCATTGTCTTTTTGAGGAAGAGTAGGATTCGCACGAGTAGAGAAAACTCAATCATAAACTTAGGAGCCGTCACATGCTCAGGAACTGTCTCCCACATGTAACTTCAACCAGTAGATAGCTGCTGATAAAGCCTGTTGTCCATTTCAGGGTTTCATCATAATCAAAATAATTAGTAAAGGACTCAATGTTACCCAACAAATGTTCAGGCAACTGATGTATGCTAGAAAATTCCAAATCTGTAAATTCAACCAACTGCTCTGAAATTTTTTTTTTTTTAGGTTTTCAAGATTGAACCTGATTATTAGAATTATAAGTCCGTATTCTATTAACAAATCACACAATCTATTCGAAAGATAAGATAAACCATATTCTATAAAATGCAAATGAGGAACATGACAACATCCACAATGATAAGGTCAGTTTCGTTTTTGGTTCATGTTGATGCCAAACAGCTATTTAATGAACAGTTAAGATCATGTAAATAATAGTATTATGCCTAGAACAAATGTGTCAAAATCTGAACCATCAAATTAATGATGTAAATGAGTTTTTGAGAACTGGATTATCAGATAAACATTATTGAGATGTAAACTTACCAATTGCCTTCAACAGTGATGTCATTTTCATTATTAATTTCCTCCTTTGCATGTTCTTGTTGCCGGCCATTTATTGAACTGCGAAGAGGGCGTACGGAAGGAGAAGAAAAATGACAGAATAAAAATTAGGAAATGTGTTTTTTCAAAGAATCTACATTCCACTGAACTCAGGCTTCAAAAGTAATAATCATATTAAATCATTCCAATATTTTCACATTAGTACAATATTTGACTAAGATACATAAAAAAAACCCCAGTTCTGGCAAACAGGTGACAGTGTCAAAGAAAGTTTTCATACCATATCAACAACAAGCTCATATGATGAACACTGACATTTTAAAACAGCAATGGTAACGGTAACAACTCATATAATAGAATGCTCTGAAAACTTTGGACTGACAAGACATAAATGATAGCAGTTACCAAAATTATCAACCACAATTCACATTGGGGGTTAGAACAGAGGCTGTAATTTACAAGTAAAAATGACCCAGATGGAGCAAAGGGCTGGCTATATTCGAACTTCAATTCTTCCAGCTCATAAAGTCTGATACTTAGCTATAGTAAGCACTCATGTTTCTACACCATTTCAGATTTTATTGAAAAAACTTGCTAGCCATGACACTTGTAAGTTGACAGTAAAAACATCTTCTGGTCACTAAACTAACTGGTGATATCGAAAATGAATAACTATGCTTGACAACTATAATGAAAGTTCCATTTCCACGAGGCAGAAATGCCCAACATCGGCAGAGTTGAAAATCAATAAGATCGAGCATTTTCAAGGCAAATGATTCCCACAATTCCACTTTGACTACTATAGGATGCTTAGCTTTCAGTTTATCTTTTGATGAACTAGTATATTGAATTAAAAAGATCTTAGCAGATTATCCAACTTCACTCTGCTTTAAAGGAGAGAAAAAAAAATAGTAAACTTTGTAAGTAGTGTCACTAGGGCAAAGTTTTGAGGCAGAAGTCATCTTAGGAAGCATCACCATAATTTCCTAATGACAGAAGCATAATATACTCACTAAGCCTCACTTCAAACAGGAAGACAACTAGGCATGCTCAAACAAATGAAATATCTTAGGTGCAATGCTCTCCAAACTGATCTATGTATCTTCAAATCATCGGTCAAATGTAGAGATAACCAAACCAATAATATAAACTGGAATAAGCTGAAAGAAGCTTACCTAGGCAAATTAACACGGAAACGGACATATTGATCTCCATGGTGTACTAGAAAACCATGCTTTGGTGGTCCTACAGGAACTCACAAAGAAAGCATGCACATTTATGGCAGGAAATCAGACACGGGAGTAAATTCAAGCAGCATCAAGAAATAGGGAGAGGAGGTGGGGCAATAGGAGGGAATGATTAAACATACCTTTATCTCTTAAAGCAAGAAGTTCTTCATGTTGACATCCTTTTGGTATCTGGGGACACCGTAATTTTAAAACACAAAAAAGGTTAATATTGAATACATTGATTCATGTGAATTGTTAAAATTAATAAAAATAATAGGGCTCCAGACAATGGGCCAAAAAACAAAAAGGACAAGGTACCTATATCAACATGAGAAATTCATGTCAGTTTTCATACATTAACAGGCCAGAAACATGATCAAACTGAGACTTATGTCCAATAATCTTTAAAGATTCAGTACTTAGTTTTGCTTAACCAGACTATCTCCTCTAATACCAGAAAATTTACACATTTTTTTATGACTTTCAGTAACTGTCACTGTAATGCACCAACAAATAAAAGAGTAGAATAAAATCAAGAGTATTACTTTCACTTGAATCTTCGCCTGTTTGCAAATCTATAAAGTTGTTCGACAAGGTATGATAGTCAACAAAAAGTTTAGTTTAAAAAGAGAGCAAGTATGCACACATTTAGAAATCAACTGAGATGTCTTCGCGAATAATAACAGATAATATAGTATAAGCCTCTAAAAAGATCAAGGTGAGATTGGAACATCTCACTTCCTCAAAAAAAAAAAAAAAATGGTCTAACCTTGCCATTCTCTTCCTCCACCATCACCAACACCTTCACCATCTCCTCCTCTTCCATGCAACCATGTCATGACAACACCTCCACCAAAACACAACCACCGTCACCACAAGCCATCTGCACCACATCATCATGATGTTCACCATAAGCCTCCTCCACCGCCACCACTACCATCTTATCCAGCATGTCTCCGCCAACCCCGACAAATGTCCCAGTATCACCACCAGAAATAAACTCCAAATGCACCATCACCAGCAGCATCACATTAATCTGCACCTCCAAAGCCAACTCCAAGTACCCCTTCTAGTCCAGTTCCAATGCCCTCGCCACATCCTGCAAACGCAACTCCTCCAAGTAAGGCATCACCCCCTAAACCCTCATATATATCCACCAAGCCCTGGTAAAGGTCCAACTCCACCTCCAAAATTACCACCAACAGCTGCAACTGGCCCATACATTGGTAAAGCACCTCCTACTCCCTACAAGGGATTACCACCTCTCTCTACACCTGCACCTCCAAAGCCAACTCCAAGTACCCCTTCTAGTCCAGCTTCACTGCCCCTGTCGTGTTCCAACTCCTTCAAGTAAGGTGTTGTTATTTTTGAAGCAAAGAAAACTTCCACACTTTCTTAGCACCAAAAACATTGCAATTTAAAGCTTAATTAATAAAAACCCACTAAAATCATGGTCCTAAGATTACACCATGACCACAAACATGAATAACAAAAAATAACCAACACCAAAAAAACATGAATAATTTTAAACATTCAACTAAGCAATATTTATGAATCCACATCAGCAGTCCTAAACATGTCTTCTAACACTCCTCCTTGCTTTAGGAGCTGCAAACACCAAGTTTTGTCCTCAGAAATTCAAACTTGCTAACCGGTAGTGGCTTGGTGAAAAAATTTGCAACCTAATCTTCTATTTTGTAGTAGACAAGAACAACAACTTCATCTTTCTGTACTTCCCTTAAGGAGAATAATTTAATATTGAAACGCTTAGTTTTCCCATGAAACACAGGATTTTGAGATATAATAAAAGTAGTTTGGTTGTCAACAAGAATCTCCATGCTTTCCTCCTACTCCAAGTTAAGATCGATTAAAATCTTTCTTAGCCATAAAGCTTGATTAACAGCAGCTGTTGCAGCAATAAACTCTGTTTCAGCTGTAGATTGAGCTATAGTTTCTTGTTTTTTTGAGCTCCATGAGAAAATACCAAAACCAAGTGTGAAACAATAACCTGAAATGCTCTTCATATCATCAATGAAACCTTCTCAATCACTATCTAAGAAACCAACTAGCTTGAACTCTTTTCTCCTTGTGTATTCAATGCAAAAATCACATGTGCTTTTCACATATCTAAGCACCCTCTTTGTAGCCTTGAGATGCCATTCGCTTGCACAATGCATAAACCGAGACAAAATGCTTACAGCATTCAAAATGTCAGGCTGAGTTGCTAGGAGATACATCAAGTAACCAATTAGGCTTCTGAAATATGCCCGATCAATCTTCTATGTTCCATCTTATTTATCGAGCTTTTCCTTTGAATTCATCGGTGTGCTCATTTCTTTACATTATTCGAGTTTAAAATTCTTCAGAATCTTCTTAGCATATTTCTTCTGACAGATAAAGACTTCATGTTCATTCTGTTTGATTTTCATTCCAAGAGAAAATGTCATCAATCCAAGATCTGTCATCTCAGAAAACTTCATCATCTCTTGCTTAAACTTCTTCACAATACTTGTGTTGTTTCCTATCACAAGCAGGTCATCCGCATATAATGAGATGATAAATGTCAGCTCCATTGTGCTTGACATATAATGTTGATTCAGATAAGCTTTTAACAAATCTCAAGTTCTACCAATGTTCATCAATCCTATTGTACCGAGCTTTTGGAGCTTGCTTCAATCCGTAAAGTGTCTTTTTAAGAAAATAGACCTTGTTTTCTTCTCTTTCCTGTACATAGCCTTTCGATTGCTCTACATAAATATCCTATTGTAGAAAACCATTCAATAATGCTGACTTAACTTCTAATTGGTACTCCTTCTAATTTTTTTGCATTGTAATGATGAGTAAGAGCCTGATGGTATCGAGTCTAACAACTGGTGTGAAAACATCTGAGTAATCCACACCGAGTATTTGAGCATATCCTTTGACCACGAGTCTAGCTTTATACTTGTTGATTGAGCTATCAGCATTAAGCTTGGTTCTATACACCCACTTGACTCCAATTACTTTTTTGTTTTGGGGTCGATCAACCGACTCTTATGTTTCATTCCTTTCAATCATAAACAACTCCTCATTCATTGCAGCAATTCAATTTTGATCCATCTTGGCTTCTTCATAATTTGTAAGTTTACACACAGCAATAATGCATCTTTAATAAACATCATAAAATAGTTTTGTGCCTCTAATAAGACTGTCATCCACCATTTCATTCTCTCAATCTCTAATGTTTTTGTTCTGCTGTGTCCAAAATAAAAAACTTGAGCTTGGGCTCTTTTGAGGTTGGATCCATCTTCTTTGCATCATCCCAGTTCCATTCTTCATCTTCCATAAAGTGTATATCCTTGCTTATAATAATTTTTCTAGTTTGTGGTTGAAAAATTTTATAAGCTTTTATAACCAAGCTGTAGCCAATGAAGATGCCTGGAAATGCTCTTTTATCTAGTTTATCTTTTTTGATCTATGGAACATGAGTGAAGCACAAACATCTAAGTATTTTAAAGAAATTCAGAGATGGTTTATAACCATACCATGCCTCAAAGGGTGTTTGATCCTTCATTGCTCTTGTGGGAAGCCTGTTTTGTAAAAAAATAACAGTTTTTGCTGCTTCAACCCAAAATTGCTTTGACAGGTTCTTCTCATGTAGCATATATCGTGTCATCTCTAATATGAATCTATTCTATCTCTCATTTACTCTATTTTGTTGTGGAATGTATGGAACGATTAATTGATGTTAGATGCTTGCCTCATCACAAAAATGATTGAATGTTTTAGAGGTGTACTCTTTGCCATTGTCTGATATAAGAGTTTGAATTTTACAGCCATTCTCGTTCTCAACTCTGGCTTTAAATGTATACTTTAATTCATTCTATTTCTGATTAAAAGAGTAACACTAACTACGTGGGGATCCAATGCATTTTGTATGATCCAATGGCCGACATATGAAAGGTGACGATTCAATATTTTGATAGCATCTATCATATAAATGTGCTATAGCAATTCACCATTATACCGGAGACACTACAATGAATAAGATCATCATCAAAACCTAAATATCAGGGTAACCTACTTCAGAACATGTAAGCCAGAAAACCACAAAAAAGGGAATGACACAATTAGTCATCAATAAGACCAATGCAGTGTTTATGAAGAGAGAAATGTTCTATTAAGATTTAAGTTTAAAACAATAGAAATTATTTACTTTTCTGTGATGTCTAATCTCTTATGTGCCACCATTTCTGCACAGGCACTCTTTTCAGCTGTAAATCTATTGCAATGCATACTCAAGGTGAGCAACTTAAAGCTTTTTTCAGTTAATAGGCTGTAGATTGAGATTCAACTTATATCTTCCTGTTCTTCTTTTAATTTTTTTAAATTCCTATTTCAATTGATTACACTTGTATAATGACATGAGGATGGGGACTTACAACCAGTAACATACCCAGTTCCGGCCAAAAATCCCAGCGGAATCATGGATTCCCAGACAAAGATTGATATGCTGCCAAACAAGGAATTGAAAATTTATCAGAAAGATGAAACAAGGTAAGAAACAACAACCAAGTAGTAGAATTTAAAAAAAAAAAAAATAGAATGAAAGGAAGTGGAACCAACCAAATTGAAAGAGCATCAATTGCAATTTCAGTATTGTGCAAATACCCAGACACTATAATTAATATTCTGTAATAGAAATTCTCCAACCTGAAACATCAAAAACCCACAAACTTTGATTAAATACTTCAACATTATAAGAGATTCGATTATCAATAAATCAAGGATAGATAAAAGAGACCATTCACATACAAAAGCATGATACCAGAGGCCAGAGAGAGTTTGAAGAAATCCCAAAGCCCAAGGAAAGCCTGTGCAGAAAAACCAGTCCAAGAAAGTGGACAACCACCGCAAACAGCATAAACAAAAAGTCCCAAAACAGACAACCACCAGGAAAAATCAAGAGTGATAGCTGTCCCAACAATCCCAACCCTCAACTTATAAACAAAAACCCAACTGACTAACACATGAACCGCAAGAGCAACCCCAGAAACCCAAACAATCACTACAGTCTTCAGTTGGCTCTGTAAGAACCTCTGCAATGTAAACTGAAATGGGAAGCTCAAGTGAAATGGTATTAGCCAAACTGCAACTAAACCTGTTTGGTCCGCCACGTTGGCTGGTTGTCCAATGAGCTTTAAGATTGGAGCAGCAAAAATGAATAAAGGTAGTAAAACAATGGAACAAAAGAAGAGAATAATCCATGAACGCTGCATGTATATACCCAACTTATGATATTGCTTTGCTCCATAAGCTTGTCCACATAGTGTCTCTAATGCACTGGCCATTCCTAACTATAAGAAAACAAGCTTCAACAAAGTTGGGTCTTTTAATCAAAATACAAGGAGATAATTTGAGATGAGAAAAACAAGGAATATTTCGATATGGGTTATCAGTTGTTACCAAGAATCCAAAAGTAATGGAAATAATGACAGTGGTGACAAAGGAAATGGCAGCAAGATTGAGGTCACCAAGATGGCCAGCGAATGCTTGAGTTATGACAGTCATGGAGAACATGGCAACGCGGCTGAAGATGGAGGGACCCGCAACTAACCATAGCTTCTTTGATTCAACCCAGGTTTTGCTTATCAGATTTGACTCTTCAGGCTGTTGTTGTTCGCGGTTCAAGTGTAGAGTTTGATCTGAGCTTGAAGGAATCAAGGGGTGGTCTTCTTCTTGGTGTATCGTGTCCATATCTTGTGCAACTGGCCGTGAGCCTCCTCAGCCTCTGCCAGACTGCCACCACGCAACGATGCGAGGCTGTGGCTGGGGCCTCGGAGGCTCTTGTACAAGTCTTAAAGAAAGGCCAGCAATTACTGATCCCTTAAAATGGGCCGGCCTGCCTACAACTTTCGGGTCACATAACTTCAATTTTAGTTAACTCTTATCCCTAAAAATGGGCCGGATTATCCGTTTGATCCGTGGACCGAATCTTGAAGATGAGTTTTAGAGTTCATACCTGGCTCGACCCGTCTAATTCATTATTTAATAAATAAATCTTTTATTTTAATAGAATTTTGCATAAAAAATATAATTTAAAAATATACAAATAATAATATAGGAATTATTTTTTAATATTTTTAACAATAATCAACCTAAACTTTGATAACAAAATTTCAAAAATCAATTGAATTTAATCCAATCTAAATTATAAACAAATCTAGTTGTACTTGTTGGACCATGCAAATAAAACTAATAAACACCAGTGGCTTGATTTTTAATCAATTGAAAAATGAGAAACTAATTAAGAAAATCAGTATTATTTGATTTTATATAGATATATATATATATGTTTATGTAAATATATGATTAAACTCGGTATGCTTAAATTAATTGACTATTTTGGTGCCGGCCTGCCTTCAATAGTTATTGGTCGCCTGATGAACTGGGGTGCTGCTTATCTCACCTTAAAATTAATTAATGGCATAACTTGGAAACCTAACAATTAACTGCAAATGGTTCCTAAATCAGTTTGCTTACTACACATGTCAAATTGGTTGGTAATTTACATAATATAAAATATTTTTTCTAAAGTTTATGCTCTTCTGGTTATTCTGCATAATTCGTTCAAAACATTCCTTCCAAGCAGAATGGACGGTGTATTCTATAGTTTTCTGGTCTTTTTTATGACACCATAACAATTATTATTAATTGGTTTACTAAGGGATGGATTCATCTATATTGTTTATGGACAGTTTTTAATCATGTGTTAGATTTAAAATGTTATATTTGATATATTACCAAACTATAAATTTTATATATTATCCATAAATTATATAAAATCATAAAAAAAATTTTTAAATTAAATTTTTATGTATTTATTTATTTTAAAAGTTTATAAAAATTTATATTTAATCATTAATAAAATAACATTATATAATTTATTGATAATATATAAAATTTATATACTATCAATGTAATAAATGTAAAATTATATTTTAATTTATCAAGTTAACGTGATGAAAAAAATCTATAAAATAATCTTGCTGATTAGATCCCAAAATTAAAGTTTAATTCTAGTAGTTTCATCTCGATTAGGTTTATATACTCATATTATATAGATAAACCAACCAAGAGTAATGGATTTATAAGTAGAGCTCAATCGGAAATTAATAAAAATATTATAATTAATTCCATAAACTTAATTTGGCCTCCAAAGCATAAGTCATCCAATTTTCAATTCAAGGACAGCTAAAAAATTCTGCAATAAGAAGGACAGCTAAAAACACGTGCATTTAAAAACTTAATATCTCCGACAACCCTGCAAGTATTATGAATGCGGGCCAGCCACAGCTGCAGTGTCCATCCCTTTCCATTGGAATAATTTTAAATAGTACTGCGTAGGGAGATTGGAACATCTCATTTCCTCAACAAAAAAAAAAAATGGCCTACCCTTACCATTCTCCTCCTCCACCACCACCACCACCTTCACTATCACCTTCACCATCTCCTCCTCTTCCGTGCAACCATGTCATGACACCACCTCCACCAAAACACTACCATCGTCACCACAAGGCATCTGCACCACATCATCATCATGGTCACCATAAGCCTCGGCCGCCCCCACCGCCACCATCTTATCCCGTGTCTCCACCAACCCCAACAAATGTCCCATTATCACCACCAAAATCAACTCCAAATGCACCATCACCATCAGCATCACATTGCTTAGCACCTCCAAAGCCAACTCCAAGTACCCCTTCTAGTCCAGTTGCAGCGCCCTCGCCACATCCTGCAAAGGCAACTCCTCCAAGTAAGGCATCACGCCCTAAACCCTCATATCAGCCACGCCCTGGCAAAGGTCCAACTCCACCTCCAAAATCACCACCAGCGGCTGCACCTGGCCCATACATCCGTAAAACACCTCCTACTCCCTGCAATGGATCACCACCTCACTCTGCACCTGCACCTCCAAAGGCAACTCCAAGTACCCCTTCTAGTCCACCTACAGTGCCCCCTCCACATCCTGCATCCCCAACTCCTCCGAGTAAGGCATCACCCCCCAAACCTTCATATCCACCAAGCCCTGGTAAAGGTCCAACTCCACCTCCGAAATCACCACCAGCCGCTGCCCCTGGCCCATGCATTCGTAAAGCACCTCCTACTCCCTACAAGGGATCACCACCTCACTCTGCACCTGCGCCTCCAAAGGCAACTCCAAGTACCCCTTCTAGTCCACCTCCAGTGCCCCCTCCACATCCTGCATGTCCAACTCCTCCAAGTGAGGCATCACCCCCTAAACCCTCATATCCACCAAGCCCTGGTAAAGGTCCAACTCCACCTCCAAAATCACCACCAGCAGTTGCACCTGGCCCATACATTGCTCCTACTCCAAAACTAACACCCGGTAGTTTATCTCCCGCACCAGCACCTACTCCAGCACCACCAGATCCACAAAAAGGAGTCAACCACACAACTATTATCGCCGTGTGCGTTTCTCTCGGTGGTGTATTTTTCCTCGTAATCCTTTTGGTTCGTCTCATTCGTCTAGCAAAGAGGAAAAGAAGCCAATAATGGTTCCTGCAGCAGTACCTTGCTCTGATGAAGAACGTTAACAAGCCTGCGAGACACCCCCAACAAACCCATATGCGGAACCATCTGTGCATGACGCTCATATTCACCAGCAAGCTATAGGAGCCGGCACTGTTGGTTCACATGTTGGGGCCTCAATAGCCCTCATTGTGAACCAGGGTACGGCGGTGGGTCTTCTCATTACTGAGACTACCAATTAAATTCATCAGTTGTTCCATCAGTTGTACCAGGGTGTAATAATTAAATTGCTACTGGCATGTAGTAGCTCTACTTTGTCTTTGTGCCAGTTCAGTTCATTTAATTGTTATTGTTTGTTAGTTTCACGCATTTTAATAATAACTTTAATTACTGTTTGAAACGTGCTCGTTGACCTGCTGCTGGCCATAACAGACTAACAGTGAAGCTGGGAAGCACCTGGACTCAGAAAACAAGTATATATAAGAGGATCCACTTAAATACATTAATATTGCACATTTTCCATTATTAGATAAAAAGGTTAAATATAAGTTTTATGCATTTAATTTTGATACAAAGATAAAAAAAATATGTAATTCTTATACTATTGTAAGTGGTGATTAAAATGAAATAAGGGGTAAGAATATAGAGAATTTATTATGGTTGTTAATTGTTGAGTCTGGTGTAGCAAGAAGGAAAGCAGGCCGTGCAAATTATGGTGGGCCTTAACATCGATTGACTTGCTTAGTACCAAGTTTAGTGCTTGCTCCCAGAAGGTACAAAGAGAGGCAAATGGATTGGCAGATGTATTAGCAAGGGCAGGGGTGGACTGAGTGACGAACCTCATGATCTGGTGGTAAAGCGTTCCAAGTTTATTTGCCTTACATATTTCTGTTTCACTTAAGATCTGTTGCTACCTCTTTGTCATGCTCTCCAGGCTTTTTTCATTCTTTCTTTGTTTTACATGTAAGGCGATTGCTTCCAGCGAGGGGTGTAGGATGGGCAATCTAACCCGTTTTGAGGGATTTCGATCCAATCTTATATGATAGATTTTTTTTTTTGACAATCGAATTTCAGATCAAGTCGGGTAACTTAAGGATGGTCGGGTTCGGATTTTAAATAAATTCGACCTCATCCGATATTATAAAAATTAATTTTTTATTTATATATATTTATATAATTATATATTTAAATATTTTAAAAAATATTTTATTAATTTCGGATCGAATTGAATATAATTTATAATATCAGATCGAATTCGAATTTGACAGATGTAAAATCGATAAATTCGGGACGAGAAAAAACTCAACCTATTACCATCCTTGGGGTGGTGCAATTGGACATGGCCTGGTTTAGATATCCACAAACTTTTTCCATTAATAAAAGCTTGACTTAAAAAAAAAATAGAGAATTTATTAAAATGAAAACTATTAAATTTTGTAGAATTTATTTATTAATTTCAAACACTCATGCATTAATCTTTAGAGTAACGGTTTTAATTGGATTTCAAACAAAACAAAATAAAACAAATAGACTTTTTTTAGTTTTTAGTATGTCCTCCCAATCCCTATATATTTGATTGGTATTAAAAACATACCTTAATGGCTGCTTGTTTGCTTTCACATCGTTAACCATCGATTGTATTACATCAGTTTTTCTTTTTCTTTTTTTAATTAAGCCATAGTTTTATTAATAAACGGTAATGTGCTTACAGAATTGTACCTGATATTGCACACATCAATATGCTTACAGTAATACACTCCCTAAACTTGGTTGGAGACCACACCTGGACACTAGACATATTCCAGGAGAGTACAAACCATCCACCCTCTTACCCACCAAACAAACCATGCCGATACTGATCACCACCATGCCAAAAAATAATGATCTCTTTCGACCCCCGCCTTTGCTAATGCATCGGCCATGCCATTCACTTCTCTAAATACTTTCACCAACTTTACTTTCTCAATACTAGACATTAGATGTTCAATTTGCAAATATATATATACTATGAAACTCCCAGAGCCTTTTTTCTCCATTTGTTACCCATCTAAGAGCAACCATTGAATTAGTTTCAATAATTATGAAAAGCTCATGAATTATAGTAAAATATTTAATATGATATTTAAATTTCAAAAATTTTTAATATAATATATGAATTATGAATGTGATATTCAATTTTAATATAATCAATTCCAAATATATGACGAACAAATAATTTTTAAATATTATATTAATTAATAAATTTATAATTCAAGTATTATATTAAAAATTTTTCAAATTTAAATATCAAATTAAATATTTAACTATAATTTTAAAAACTATTCATAATATCTATCCATCAAAAAAGAATTATATGCTAAAAGAAATATACCAATGTAGAGGCAGTTGGAAGCTGAACCAACTTGATGTACTTGTAAAGAATGGGCTTCAACATTCAAGTAATGTATGTCAAATTCTCAAATCTTATGATGTTAAACGAAAAGGTATCTATTATTAACACTGGCATCTTCTAAAAAAAAGGATATCTATTGTTAAAAAAAACCAAGTCGAAATTATTAACACGTAAGATAGTAATTGTTAGTGCATGTTTTCTTGTACAACCCATCTTAATTGTGACCAATAATTCAACATCATCAATTCAGAAACACAAATATTTACGAATTAAAATTTAATAAGGGTTGAATGGAATCATTTAATAATTGTCGTATCTGAAAATTACTCTTACCAATATATTCTATCATATAAATTAAATTTTAATAATATTTTATCAATTTATATGACAACGTAAATTAAATTTCGTAATTATATCATTTTTTTAAAGAAAATATCATTCTAAAAATAAAAAAAATTACTATTGATGTTAAAATTTTAATTTTAAACTTATTAAATATCACTTCTTAAAAATGATTATATAAACCAATTGAATCAAGCTTTATATTCTAATTATATCATTAAATGTTAAGACTTTTCCAAAACCATGAATTTTCTCACAAAAGAAAATCACATATGGCTTCTTATCATCTTGATTGGATAGACAACATTAGGTAGCGTTTGGTATATATCTTCACTTCATCTTGATTGGATATACAACATCATAATAATGTAATTCTCGGAGTGATTTTATTATCAAAGTGATTTTAATGCTCATGATTTGAAATCACTTTATTTGATTAAAAATAGTTAATTCTTAGGAATTAAAAATTATTGTATTTGATATTATTAAAAATCAAATATTATTTTGTTTAAAAGTATGAAAATAATCATGCATATTATAATGTTACGGAAATTAATAATTTTAAGATTGTTTAAAGATAACAATTTATAAAATATTAATAATATTTATTTATTTTATAATAAAATATAATTAAATTATTAAATTATTAAATATATTTATTGACAGGTAAATTGATTTTTATAATATAAATTATGTAAAAAATATTTGAATTAGAAAATAAAATCAATATATTAAATTCATAATAAAAAAATAAAAATATTATATTATATATAAAATATTAAAAAAATACGTAAATTATTGTAAACTTATTACAATAAATATTAGTTTGAAAATATAAAATTATATAATATAAAATAATTATAATTTTAAGATACAATAATTTTTAGTTTATACATTAAATGAGTAAATTAATTATTATTAATTTTACATATTATTTCATTTTTATGATAAACGTTTTTCATATTTTTATATGAGACTTGGATCACTCTTTAAGATAATGATTTGATCATTCTAAATGATCCAAAATCATCAAATACTTATTAGACACAATAATCTAATTATCATATATAAATCATAATAACTTTTAAAATAATTATCTTATACCGAACTCTACTTTTTAACATTGAAGAACGCATGGCAGGCTTAAAGTGGGCAAAATCGATAATGACGAGTGCTGCTGGACCCTCCAAAACATTTGGCTCTTAGTTTTGAAGGAAAGTGTTTGTCCGCATTGCAATCTTGGATGCTGCTGCCCGTATATAGCAAATATATGTTAGTATTTGTATTTGTCCACATGAAGTGAACATATAGTATAGGACAAGTTTTCCTTTTTTTTTTTTTTTTCCTTATATAGTTTACGCTAACTGCCATGGTATTTTATTTTATATGATTGCAAATATTAAAAAATTTTGCTTCTATTATTTAAACTTTTCTATTAAAAAATTTATACACTTGATCCATTTTCTCAACTAATTGATGGGTACAAAAATTATCTTTAAGACAATAACGACAGGATTGCCTGATCAGATTGCTGGATTTGTTTTAATTATATTTTGGTAACATGGATTTGAAACTGATATATATTAGATTTTATAAACAAAATAATAAATATTAGCAGGTCCAGTCCATTCATATTTTTGTATCCGATTAAAAGAGCTAGATACCATACTTATATCCGTTCTTATCCCAAATCCCCACTCAAAATTTCATACTCATTTACATCCTCATTTAAATAAAAAAAAATTATATTCTCATTTAAGTAAGATTGACATCATTAATTTTTATCACTAAATTCAAGTTTTTAAATTAATGATGTATATATTTTTAAAAATATTATTTTAAAGTTTCTTATGTATTAAAACCAAATAAAAGTTCAATAATTGAGACCAAATAAATTTTCTCGCTCCAACCATACAGACAGCCAGTAGCATCAAAACCACAAACGGCGGCAATTTTACGTGGTTTTGAGTTGGAGCAAGGCAAGACTACCAATTTGTGAATGTTTGTTAGCCGTTACATCAAAAAATATGCCCACTTATTAATTATATACACCCCACCTTTTCAATTTTTCTGAGCAGTTAATTAAAATCATTATAATTAAGCCAATTGCATCATAATTATTGAATTTTTAATTTTAATAATCAAAATTAATTTTCATAACTTCAAATATTTAAAAAATAATAATATCAGAAAATAGTGTTTCTGCACCGTTGGTATGCTGGTTAACAAGGATTTCAAGGTTTCTTTTCTTTCTCTTTCTATCTTAATTATTCCTCTTACTACCAAAGTATATTCCATTCAATGATGAATGAGATCTACTGCAGTTTAATTGATTTCTAATTCTTGAGATAAAAAAGTAAAGTACAACCCAAGACCACATTTTTAAGGTTGCTATAAATCTTTTTTCTAAGATTTAGATGAACCTTTTTGAATGGTAAATCTTGATCATGACAAGGATTTTTTAAAGACGATTACAGGTGATCTATTAGTAGAATATAAATTTTTAATTCTAGCAATCAAAATTAAATTTTAATAATTTTAAATATAAAAAAATAATATAATAGAATGAAAAGTCCTATGCTGAAATCGAAAAGCATTTTTTTTATTGTTGGTTCTATATTTTTGGTACAATTAACACGTTTATAAATTTATTTCTAGCTATGAACAATATTGAAATGTTACATTTTGCAGGTAATTCCAAGGGAAGCAAGGGAATTTGAGCTTGGAGAAACAAAGTATTATGTTGTTGCGATTTGGAGTGCAATAGTATGGCAAGTGTTTCTTCTTGGGAGCAATAGAAGTAATCTTTTGTGCTTCATCTTTGTTATCAGGTATCATAATTGCAGTTCTATTACCCGTCACAGAGATTCTGGCAGTAATTTTCTACAAAGAAAAGTTTCAAGCAGAGAAGGGTGTGGCTCTTGCACTCTCTCTTTGGGGCTTCATTTCATACTTCTACGGTGAGATTAAGCAAATCAAGAAAAAGAAGCCAGCTCCTGAAACAGAGATGCCATCAGTTCCCAATAGTGTGGAAAGTGTTTAAATATTTGTGATCCGACCAATTCCAGGTTCCAACTTCGCTTGGCTAATGGTTTCTTGGTATATTGCTCGATCCTAGCTAGTTAGATAAGAAATTACCTTTGCATGTTCTTGTAAGGATTCGATTTTCCAATAATTTCAGGTTTAAAACACCGGCAACTATGAATACATTAAATTCCCAAGTATTCTTTCCTATTTTCGAATTTAACATCAGAATATATACACATCATGCAAGTCTTATGTTTTCTTAAGTATGTACATATGTCACGGGTCGAGACTTAAGCTTCGAACCCGCGCGGCTTCGGAACCCAGGCATTCACCTTTCTGACGTCCCAGATCAGCTTTCCGTCACGGTTCACACCCTTGTGAGATATTGTCGGCTCTGGCCCTCTTGACCTCACGGTTTTGTCTACAAAAGGCACCTCACAAGGCGGAGGTAGTGTGAACCCTTTTATACCCCAAGGACCCTCTTATTATGTTCGATGTGGGATTCAGGACTCTTTCTTAGGTCCGTGACATTCTCCCGCACCCAACCTCATGATGCCCTCGTCACGGAGACTGACCATTCTGCCTGCCTCCCTTGAGGTGTTTAGCGTGGATCGAACGGTTTAGGGCTGGCTCTGATAACACTTGTCACGAGTCGAGACTTAAGCTCCGAATCCGCATGACTCCGAGACCCGAGCATTCATCCTTCCGGCATCCCAGATCAGTCTTCCGCCACGATTCACACCCTTATGAGGTATTGTCTGCTCTGATCACTTGGTCTTATGATTTTATCTTACAAAAGGTGCCTCACAAGACGGAAGTGGTGTGAACCCTTTTATACCCCAAAGACCCTTTTATTATGTTCGATGTGGGATTTAAGACTCTTTTTTAAGTCCGTGACACATACATGAATATTATTATTCTTAATTTTTCCATTTCTTTTTCAATGTTTAAATTAACATTTAACTTTCAAATATCCATAAGATATTGGCTAAGTAATAAAGAGAATTTACTTATCTTTTGATTACTTCAATTAGAATCTGTTAAAAAAAATTATAAAAAGATAAATTTTTATAAATTTATTTAATTTGATATAAATAAACTAATTTAGACTAATCCAAAAAAAAGTATCCAACAAAATTTAAAAATCTTTTACCGCTAAAAAAAAAAAAACAAATAGATACTAAAACAGTTTTTGAGAAACTATTAAAATAATAACGTAATAATAAGAAAAAACAAAATAATAATACGACAATAGAAATGAATGAACCTTTTCGTTTATTGGATGTCGAAAAGCAAATGCCGTTACAACAACTCAACAATTATACGAGCAGACGCTAGACGACAATGAGTCTATGATAGCACCAAAAGTGATAAAGAAGGATGCCCTCTTTTAATGCCTCAATAATGGCTAACCAGATGAATCATGAAACTACTTTTAAGAGAATTGAACCCTCTATAAACAGAAGAAGCCACAAAAAAAGGGGCCCATTTCTTATATCCTCCATGTGCATGAATATCTTGTTCATTGCCTCGAGTCAAGTTTGGCCCATTAGTCTTTTGAGGAAGAGTAGGATTCGCAACGAGTAGAGAAAACTCAATCATAAACTTAGGAACGTTAATGTCAGGAACTTGTCTCGCACCTGTAACTTCAACCAGTGCTGAATAAAGCCTGTTGTCCATTTCAGGTTTCATCATCATCTAAATAATTACTAAAGACTCGATGTTAGCAAAAATGTTCAGGAACTGATGTATGCTAGAAAATTTCAAATTGTAAATTCACCAACTGCTCTGAAATTTTATTTTTTATGTTGGTTTTGCAATGAATTGATTCTTAATAAGAATAATTGATTTCATATGATTATTAATTAATTTTTATATTTTATATTTTATGTATTTTTATTAATTTATTATTATTTATATATATATAAATATGTATATTTTATTTTTTTTTAATATTTATATGTATTTTATTTATATAGTTATATATTTCTTATTATATTATAATTTATTATTATTATTATTTTTTTATCTTGTAATATTTTTTGGATTTATCTTATTTTATTTTTAATTATCTGTTAATTTTTTTTCGTTTATTTGATTATTATTATTATTATTATTATTGCTTTTTTTTGGGCTGTGATTAAAAGCTGAAGAATACTACTGTGAATGGAGATTCAATCAGAAGAGTTCAGATTAGATTCAAAGATTGAATCCCCGTCTAAAGAGGAATTGGGGTTGATCAGAAACTCCTGATCAATCCCTATAAAAGGGACCTCCTGGAACATAATAGGACATAGAAAAAAACAGTGAGCAAAGCTATTGATTTGAGAGAAAAAAGGCGTATAGAAGAGTATAGAAGGCTAAGGAAAGGTTTAGAAGCGTTCTAAGAATTAGTAGAAATTTTTTGGAGATTTTTGAAGATTATTTTTTCTAGGAATTTCTGGAAAATTTCAGATTTCGATGATTTTTTCGGTGAAAGTTGAATTTTTCGGCGAAGATTTTAGCTAACTTTGAATTTTTCGGCGAGCTGCCCAGTTTCTGGCGTGGATCCCAAAAATCGACCAACTTTTCGATCAACTTTCGGTGAACTTTCGACGAAAACCAGATTCCGACGACAAATCCTAGAATCCGGTGAATATTCAACCGGAGTTCTTCAACAGTTTAGAGAGAAACGAGAGAAAAAAGAAAGAAGAGAGAGAGATGAGAGGAGTTTTCTGTCGAAAAACAGAGGGAAGAGCCTTATATACCCTTCCAAAACGATATCGTTTTTACCTTAAGTGACCCAGAGGATCGGCGCGTTTTACCGAAGTTCGACCCGACCCGAGCGTCGATCCGCTTCTTGACCCGCGCGTGTCTTCCCCTTCGAGCCGATAGCCGAGCCGAGCCGAGCCGAGCCGGGGTTTCAAGCCGCTTCTCCGAGCCGTTTTCTCTTCCTTGAGCCGAGCAGAGCCGAGCCGTACTCTAAGCCACTCCGGGTTTTTTTTTGAATTTTTTTTATTATTTGTTTTTTTATTTATTAGATTAGGTTTGTTTAGTATTCTTTTTACCTTTATTTTATTTTTTTATTTTTGTTTTACTTTTCTTTATTTTATTTTTTTATTTTCACTTTTATTTTGTTTTATTATTTTATTTTCTTTAAATAAAAATCAAAAAAATATTTTTGGGGAAAAGTTGAAAGTATCAATTTTCCTTAAAAAATCAAAATTTTCCAAAAAAAAATATTTTTGAGGAAAAGTTGAAAGTATCAATTTTTTTTAAAAATAAATTTTCAAAAAAGGGTTTTTGAGGAAAAGTTAAAAATATCGATTTTCCTTGAAAATCAAAGTTTTCAAAAAATATTTTTGGAAAAAAGTTGAAAGTATCAATTTTCCTTTAAATTTTTTTCGAAAAATATTTTTGGGGAAAAGTTGAAAGTATCAATTTTCCTTAAAAATAAATTTTCAAAAAAATCAATTTTTGAAGAAAAATGGAAAGTATCAATTTTCCTCTAAATTTTTTTTTTAAAAAAATATTTTTGGGGAAAAAGTTGAAAGTATCAATTTTCCCTGCACTGGAAGAATCATTCTTCATTTTATTTGATTTTGATTTTTCTTTAAATAATTCGACGATGGAGCTCTGCAAGTGAAACAGTAGTTTTTTTGCATACTCCTAAGGTGAGGGGATTTTTTTAATTTTTTGCTAAAAGTATTAGAGTCAATTGAGAATAATTTTCAATAATTAATTACTGGGTAAAATTTTAAGGCTCATTGGATAACACAAATTTAAGCTGGTACCATCTTTTGATGGGCGTTGTGAGGGTGCTATAACCTTCCTCACACGTAACCAAACTCCCAAACCCTGTTCTGGTTAGTAGACCTGAACCTATTCTTTTAGGGACCCTTAAACTTAGGTGTTCCCTGAAAAGATAGATTCTTTAGGTGGCCAATAGCATATAGATAAAAAAGATTGGTGGCGACTGTCTTAAGTCAATGTCTAGCGATAGATTCCTAGATCTAGACGTTATGACAGCTTGGCGACTCCACTGGGGACGTCTGAGAGTCAAGCCAGCAAATAAATTGTGTTATCCAAAAGCCTAATAAAATTGAACCTTTTGTATATATGTGTTACTATTCATTCATGTTTATTTACCTTGTTAATTATGTCATTCATATGCATGGGCATAACATGAGCTTTACACCCGAGCTCTGTCTCTCTAGGAGGGAGTAAAGTACTTATTGCTTTTGTGAGGTCTAATGCCTCCGCAGTGGCTAGCGAAATACTCCCACTCAAATTGAACTTTTTTTGCTTGTAGCCTGTAATGGGTGAGGATTATGGTACCTTACTAGTCTGTGATGGACAAAGATGTAAGGAACAATTTGAGGACCTTTAGACTTTGACCCTAAAACCGCATATAGTGAACCTTAAGAGTGCCTAACCTATAGATAGAGCCATCACTCTTCCCTTTTAGAATTAACCAAAAGCATATGATTCATCCTTTTTACTTTGTGTGATGTTTAAATTTACTTAGTTATTTATTCTTTTTCTGGGTATACTAATCGTTTTCTTATTTTTTTGCATTGGTCCATACGCATATCATAAAGTTGCATAAGAACATTTGCTTGAAAAATGGTCTTCAACAAATTTTTTTCATGGACGCCAATGAATGCTTAGTTTGTTCTTCATCAGTATTAGCACCCTGTGGGACACCCAATGAAGTGATGGTCCAGTCAGAAAAGACTCAACTGAAGATGAAAGATTGCTTGCCAATTGGGTATGATTCTACTCTGTTTCAAGAAACATCTATCCACTTCAAACAAAATAATTTAGAGAATTTAGTTGATATCTGGAAGAAAATGAGTCTGTCAAGACAAGAGTAATTTTATCAAAAACATGAGCATATAGCACACCTTCTAGCAGTGGTTGTTGATGATCAACTAATTAGAGCTGCAACATAATTCTGGGATCCTGCATACAAGTGTTTCATCTTTAATGAAGCTGATATGACTCTCACTATAGAAGAATATTCGGTCTTGTTGG